TAACAGGCCACTTACAACAGTAGCCTATGTTACTTTTCTTTATGCTTCTTTTAATCAAAAGTTTGAAACAGCGCAGTGTTTAGACAGAGCCTTACAGTGTGTGTGTGTGTGCAGTGTACTTCCGGTGGTAGCAGGACATCTCGGGACACTGATCTAAACGATTTTGAGAAATACTTCAATATTAGTTCTGTCACCTCCCAACAAGAATGTCCTGATTTTGGAAGCAGCTGCATCTCTGTACAGAGTTTTCATGTTCTTGCTGTATTTGCGTGGGTTTCCTCTTCCCACAGGCCAAATATATACAGGTCAGCAGCTCTAAATTGCCTATAGATGTCAGTGTAAGTGTTGTTCACTCGTGTTAGCCCGGATAGAACAAAACAGAAAGAGAACTGGTGAAAAATACCATGACTTAAAATGAGAAGCAAGTGAAAACCAAACTCTGGATTTTATTACAATTTAGAATAACAATCTGAGGGTTACTTTACCTGTGCTTAACACCTAGCTAGTAGTGGTGGAAATTTCCTGGCTTTGACTATTATTAAATATTAACAAAAACTCCTTTGACTGATTAGTTAAAGAAATGTTATGTGTTCTTATTGAGAAAACATGATTTGTCAAAAAAGTAGGTGCATTCATTAGTTAATCAAATTTTAATAAGGTGTTTATAAATGATTAAACAAAACCGTGGTGGACTCACGTTTGACTGCACAAGCTTTGGCAGGAGACAAACAGCCTCAGACAGTGGTTCAACACCACTGTAGTGATCACTTAATTAACAGATGAAGAAAGCAGAAATGAAAAAGTTGTTCTCTTGCATGGACATCTAAAAAAGGCTTCCTCACAAAGAAGCAGATATTTACATAAGAACCACAAAGTTAAACACTTTGTGGTTGTTATGTAAATTTATTTATGAAGAAGACATCTGCAGAGCATACTTTTTTGGGGCTATTTTCTGAAAATCATCAAGAAATGGAGAAAGTGCAATCCAATATATCCATGATTCAGACAACTCCTCATTCACCCTATGATTGCTGTGTCATAAATATTGATTTTTGCATTTTAAACAGAAAAGAATCACATTGTTGTGTGTGCAGATGATGCAGATATAGAGCTTGACTGTGCAAAAACCACCTCAATGATGTCAATGTTTTACTGATTTAGTAAAACAAAACAGGAGGTGGAAAAGAATCCAGGTAAACGGTGAAATTTAGTTATGTTGCAAGGTGAAAAGAGGGCAATGCAAGATAGCTGAGGGATTCATGACAGTATATTTTGTTTGTTTCTTGGAAACAGTCAAAGGTAAAATAAATTCATGATTCAGTTACATCAGAAATAGCAGGGAAAATGGACAGATTGCTGCAGTTAGGTTGTATTGGTTGCAGGGATTGTTGTGTAGTACAGAATAGTTTGTGCTATTTAGCTCAAAAAAGTGTATCAATAGTGCCACCACATGGAAAGGCCTGAATGGCTTTCTGTAAGCAAACATTTCTTCATTCATCTAGTGTTAGATTTCAAGCAACATTAATAAGAAACTTGATGTATAAAGTGTGCTTGAGATGTCAAGATATTTTTTTTTTACCTTAACAGTAGAGAAGACAAACCACCAAACAATTGTTAGAACAGCAGCTTTATATACTAAATTCAAAATCTTAGCAGCAGGCAATATGAACATCAGGAGAAGAAATACAATCATGTAAATTATATAATAACTTGACAAGGTGAAAGTAATGCTCTGCAGAAAACTGCCATATAACAAAGCATATTTACTTAAATATGGATCAAAAATGCAAAACATTGGTTTGTGCCAGCACCTTTTCACTTGCTTTTAGAAGCTCTCCTTAGCAGTTTTTAAGTGTCTTGACTCAGCGCAGTCTCATCCATGGCCATATAGGGTGTCCACAAGTGAGAACAGTTTTACCAAAGTATGACCACCGTCAGAGGTTTTTAAGTCAGCACAGTCTCCATCCATAATATTGTTGACATCTGTCAGTCTCCACACTAGTTGCAGGGAAGCCAAATAGGTCAAACTTGTCACAGTCATGCTAGATGTTCCTCTGGAGGAGCTCATCTGGTACTCCTCCTCAGGCTCTCCACAGTCTGCAGGAAGGAGCGCTGGGCTTGGTCCTCCTCCAGGGTGGAGGAGTCCTCCTCCTCCTCTTCGATGATACCACACTGTACACAGCGGAGGCGGGGCTCACGTTGTCCAGCCCTGCAAACACAAGCTGTGGCTAGAGACTGGGGGAACTCCTCCATCACCAAAGGCAGCAGATGGGCAGGGAGCGTGTCCATGCTGGTCGCCATGGTGAACGGTGGCCCAAATGTGAGGATGATGAAGCTCTAGAGTATATGTGATGTAGGTTTTGTGTAGTTAAGTCTTTTGTTAAAAATTCTGGTGTATCTGATCAGCTGTCTCCAAAAGTGTTGGAACAGATGATGCAAAAACAAATCTGTAAAAAAATGATACAATACTCAATCATTGAGATCTGTTTAATATTCAGTCCTGAGGGTTCTGCTTGATGAGAGATGATTCTGAAAATCGGCTGTGAAATCAGAGTGTGTGTGAGAGTCTAGGCGAGCGGTGGTCTCGGAGCACCACTGAGCTCTTCTTTATATACATCTCTGAAACCCACTCGTTTCTTCCTTTGGGCATCCCTCCACACACACAGCTCCGCTCCCCTCCTACCTTCTCAGTGATGACACATTTCCGCAGCTTCCATACCAGAGCACCGGAATAATCTCCCAGAAACTGTTGGCATGGGAACCGGACGGTGATGTTTGAGAGGGAAGAGGCAGAACGTGAAAAAGCAACACATTTGTATGGACTGTGAAAATGACGAATAATGGTAAAATCACTCAAGGAAGTTGTATGAGCTGATTGATTTACTGGCTGTAAAAGGATAAATAATAAAATATGGGTATATAGGGCAATGAAACAAGAAATTCCCCGAGCACAGCAACAACAATTAGGTGCTGGTAGATAGCAGGATAAAAAAAACAAACTACCGCACACTGGTCTGACTTTACTACCTTTATTGTGAGCAGCGTGTTTCACCCTTTGCTTCTTCAGGCTCACATAGTGAAACACACTTACAGTTGTGCTAAATAGACCCTGTGCAGGTCATGTGACCAGCACAATCCATGACACCCATAAAATCAACATCTTATACAAAGTATTATAATATAAATGGCAAGAATGTGCTAATTATCCAAACAGATCAACAAACATCACAATATATATATTTTAAACATACATCAGTTACAAGAATTACAACAAGACCTCATGAATATCATGAGACAAAATAGCCTGATGTTCCTTACTCTAGCATATATCCCTAAAGGGGAGGGTAGGACATTCAGAATCTTAACTTTCTCTAAAGGAAAAACCCACCTCAGAGCTAGACATAATATTCAAAATCACAGGGATGGGCTCAAATGTAGCGTCTCATTCAGTCCATGAGGTTCAATTGTGTTCAATTCATGAATCCAAAAAGCTTCCCCTCTCAAAATTTGGTTAATCAAGTTACCCCCTCTTGGATTAGGACTCAATATTTCAATGCCAATAAATTTAAGGGTAGTGGCCGAACCATGTTTTTTCTCTCTATAATGTCTAGTAATGGCATAATCCATGTTCCCATTTCTAATGGCTGCCTTATGTTCTGCCACTCTCACTTTGAGATTCCGTTTAGTTTGGCCCACATACATTAAGCCACATGGACATTTCAATACACGGACAACATGGGTAGATAGACAATTAATACATTCTTTTATGTTGTATTTCTTTCCTGAATGCGGATGGTTAAATATTTTAGTGTCAAATGTGTTTTAACAATGTACACATTTGCCACACCTATAGTTCCCATAAAGCTGTAATGAAAGCCAATTTGTTTGAGTGGGTTCTTTATACATGGAACTGACAACAAAATCTCTGATGTTTCTGCCTCTCCTGAAGCAAAAATGAGGTCTAGACACTGCTAAATGATTCAAATTTGGGTCACATTCTAGGATACTCCAATGTTTGTTTATGATCTGTTTAACTTGTCTAGAAATGGTACAATATTCTGACACAAATGTTGTTCTGTTTCCAACAGATTTAGGGGAAGGCTTCAATAATTCTTTCCTATCTTTTCTATTGGTTTCTTCCACAGCCTGGTCAATAAGTGCTTGATCATATCCCCGTTCTCTAAATCATCCAGCCATTTCTTTAGCCTTTATATGACAATCATGTTCTTCACTACATATCATTCTTAATCTCACAAACTGACCATATAGAATATAACTAATGACATGGCTAGGATGGCAACTAGTAGCGTGTAAAATAGTATTTTTGACAGTTTCTTTTCGATAGATAGATGTCTCCAGTTGTCTGTTTTCATTTACTGTGATTGAAAGATCCAGAAATTGAACTTTTGTTTTGGCTGTGTACCATAGTGAAATGCAGAGTTGAATAAGTGTTATTGATGTATTCACTAAATTCCCTAAGATGTTGATTTTATAGGTGTCATGCAAAACATGGATTGTGCTGGTCACATGACCTGCACAGGGGTCTACTTAGCACACCTGTAAGTGTTTTTGTAATTTCACTATGTGAGCCCGAAGAAGCAATGGGCGAAACGCGCTGCTCACAATAAAGGTAGTAAAGTCAGACCAGTGTGCGGTAGTTTGTTTTTTGATTTTTCATGGGTATATAGGGCTTTTTTCTTTTTTTTTTTAAACACAGAACAGTTTGACTTTTTACAGTCATTGTTTGGGTGTGATGGAAAGAGATTCCACATATAGAGATTTACATACTTTATACAGGTGGTATGTGACTCCAAGCTTATTTATACTTACAAAGCCCATTAAGAAATTAAAACTACAACTGTTATCTTGCCAGGCCTTCCCATTACCTTAGTATAACATAGGCTAAAATTGGTCTCCTTTATGGTCGACATTTTACAGTCATGTGATTCAAAACATGAAAAATGAAACAAGGCATAAGTCAGAACAGACAGATGACTGGATGAAGCTATTTGAATTGATATTTATTCATGGCTGAAATTACAAATGCAATGTAGTTTTCTAAATAGTCAGTACATCTTAATGGTGGACAACTGTTCTGCTTTTTTGGTCTGCTTTCCCCAAACACTATGCATCCCAGGCAGGGCACACAATTAGCACTAGCCACTAGCCAAATACTGGTAAAATATGTGGCTGCTTGAGTTGCTTCCCTCACCAGCCAAAAAAAACAATGGTAATCTATTGAGTGGCTGGCAGGTTTTGAACATTCACTAGCCATTTGGCTGGTGTATAAAAAAGTGAGTTTTGCACCTTGATCCCAGGTATTACAAATACATCAATATAATTACCCTTGAGAAAACCAACTAAACAGTTAGCATCAGTGAAATGTCAAGTACAAATCTTCCATCAGGATTAACACAGTATAACTTAAAGCTGATATCTGAGCCAAGACAAGTTATATATGAGACTACTACTAACATTCTCCATGAACATACAAACTCAAAGATTCCCAAAAGAAATGTGTCAGATTTTACATTGTTTTATTAGTTTGTCTCTGCTGTGCATTTTGTTGGGTTTAAGAAAACACAAGTGAAAAGATTGAGATTAACGTCACACACTGCATTTTGAGAGAATTTTCTGGAATTTTCAGATAGAAAGTTGTGCCCAACAGTAACACCAGTTATAAGAGTGGATTTGATCCATTTAGTATGTAAACAAAACACATTTTTATATTCTATCACAACTTCTCTCTCTGTGCTGGCTGTTTGTCTACAGAGCCTCCTCTTCATTTAACAGATGAAATGTAGTTTGGTAAATTATACATTCTGTCCCTTCACCACCAAATCAATACTGTTTAGAAAATATTAAGATTAAAAAAAAACCCAGTAGATCTTTAATGATTTTGAGTTGGTGCTCAAGAAGGAAAGGTGTAAAGCTGAGTGCTTTGAAACATCTGACACAAAAAAAGAGGAATTAAGGAAGCTATTAATATCACAAAAAAACATTTCAGCCTTTAAAGCTTAATAGCACATTGTTTAAGTGCTCTAGAGATTGTTAACAGTAAGTACCACCTCCAGTGTTCTACTAAAAAGCTTTAAGCTATTCCACATCATCCAGAGCTGTTCCACATACTTGCAGGAGGCTCAAGCATACGCTCAAGCATACACTCAAACATACGCGTTTTGCAGACTTTTAGGAATAGTTTTTAGTTTTCATGTTAGTATTCCATTCATTAAAGCTGATCAATCAATGAGCAGCACCATCTTCTTCAGTATTTTTCACACAGCTGTTTGGATTGAATATGTGTAGTGGCAACTGTGGCCAGATACTGCCTCACATCATCTTTGACTGGGAGAATCAGAGGGAGGGAAAGTGAGATGTTGCCTAGAAACTGTCACATTTTCTCTTCTTTGTCCATGATGATGGTAGTTGGACGAGTTGTTAACACAGCTGGTCCCCCCTGTCTGTTGCGGTCGCTCCCAGCCGCTGCTGATCTATCCCTGCTTCTGCTTCTTCAGGTAACGAGCACGCTGGGACAAACCCATCCCCATCATGTAACTGTTGAGGAGCTTGGCAGGGAGCAGAGCTGTAGTCACCCAGCCCTACAGAGGGAAATTACATGGTCAGCTGGTGGCATTTACAAATAACAGATTAGCATTCATTATTAATTTCCAACCTACAGGAGCAACGACTGTGCTCCTTGCAAGTTTGTGCAAAGGAAAAATCAGGCACTTTTACTGTTTTGATGCCTATGCTCCTTTCAAATAATGCCTAATTCAGAGCCATTTTGTCTCTGCAAACTTAAATTTCCATTTCAGCATTTTTAAAACCATATCCCTCGGATGTTATCAAAAGTTACAAAGTATGTATGGTAGATTTATGTCGCTGGACAAATTAACCAAATTTGCATCATTTTTTTATATTGTGCATTAGTAGGCAGTTGAAATTACAGTTATAAAATATTTTCTGCTTTACCCATAATGACAGTTAAAGCAACAGCTTACCTTTTTCTTTATTTATTTGAAAGGGGACAGTGTACATTAATCAACATTAAAACAATGTAAATGTACCCGAGTTAGCTAAAAAGTGCTAATTTTCATCGGTAGTCCCCCAGCCAGGTGTAAAAAAGGCAGCCTGACAACAGTATGGCAGCTCAAACTGTTATTTTGTTCTGAAGAAACTCAGTTTTTAAATTCTCTTTTTAAGCAAGGAGCAGTTTTATGAGGCATCATAAATGGTTTTTTCATTGACTTACCATTACCATAGTTAATTAATTACCAATAAAAACCCTTCTAATTGCATCATTTTTATTTCTCCTGATAATTTACTTTAAAGCTGAAAATTGTTATTTTCTAAATTTATACATCATTAAATTCATTAGAATTATTAGATTAATTCTAAGTGCCCTTAACTTCCATATCCATTTAGTTGTATTGTTGCAGGTCTTTTACCATGACATTATCTTAATCGTGCATCCAAAAAAAATATATATATCAACAGATGAACAACAGAAAAAAGGACAGAACATCTATTGTTGTTTTTGCACACGAACAAGGTTGCAGATTGCCGCTTTAAAGTAGTCTCAATTAGATACTGGTGAACTGGGGATTATTACTGGGAGAAGAGCGGCGAAGCTGCACTGTACAGGTGCTATGCTGAAATGGATGGTGTTGTTAGTTATCAAATTGTTTATTTAAACCCGTGAATATTAGTTGTATAAAAATTAGGCTATCAAATAACATCAATTACAAATTAATTTGATCTAGGTATGAGAGACCGCATGTAGGCCAACCTGCACAGAGAGAGAGAGAACCCTGTGTCAAAACACCGGTAGCCTACCTTAGAAAAGATGAAAGTAGAAGGTCACCATAGTTATTTCAACTTGGATTCATTTTTAAGAAAAAAAACATTTTATTCTTTTGATCGGTGGACCCTTAAGGACTAAAGGAATATATAATTAATCAAGAAATTGACACATATTTGGACTTTATGACCTCTTCAAAGATAGGAGAGTTACCACTTTTGTTCTGTCTCTGAATGAATTATACTTTAGTGCTCATGGTTTATGTAAAATATACCGAACGAGTGAATTGTGGAGAATATAACCAAACTTGTCCATTTTGACAACAGTTTAAACATTTATATTAGTATGCACACCTTGGAAGTAGCTCATGTGGGCAAGCCGGTGGGCTTTAAAAGGTTTTATACATCCAAAGAACTGCTAAAAAAAACAGACGGTATATCAATAAACATGATCATTGATATTCAGGTTGCATAGTTCAGCAGTATCCAACTCAGCATGGAGGAAGTGGAAGGAGAAAATGACTGTTGCTCTCTGTAACCTCTGCCAAAATGTACACAGCCAAAAGATCTGGGCCTGTATTTATCAAGCTTCTCATATTTACTCATAGGAACACTGCCAAGAATTGACTTAAGTGTAAAAAATATCTTTGCTCAAAGCTGTGCTTAAAAGTTAGTTATCAAGCATCTAAGTCCTAATTTGAGTGAAGTGTAGGACAAAAATCATAAGTGTCAGTCTTAGAGCTGATTCAAAACACTTTGCTGTGCCACAAACAGGATTTTGGATGACAATGTAGGCAAGGACCAATCACTGAATAGATTTCCTTATTGTAGAATATTCTCAGATAAATTCACATTGAACGGTGGAATTCCTAAGAGGAGTTTACGTTCAACAGACATTTAACAATTAAGAATTTTATTTAATTATTATTAATATTTACATACGTAAACACTGGAAATGAAAGATAAAGTTGATATGCCATCAATTGCACCTACTACTCCTGGGAAGTCTGCTATTTGCATGAATTGTGTTTGCTTCTGTCGGATTACGGCGGGTGTTGTTGGGAAGTGACAATTCGGCTTATTAATGGTTATGATGGGCCAAAATCATCAGCTTTGCTGCATTGTTCCTGTGGCAAACAAAGCATCATCACAACCTACAATTTAGCTGAAAATGTATTGCTGCGTAAAATCAGTGGTGAGATGACGTCCCTCACAAACTCGCTGATAAAGATTATGCCTGCACTTTCCCACCCCGTCGTACGTGTTGTCAAATAATTCAAACATTCTTCCTCTCCTGAAAGATCTGCGCATGTCTCTGTCTCCGCAGTGGCATCACAAGCCTCTACTGGCAACTCCTAACCACTTTTGAGACCTCTCGAGCTGTCTTAAATAACTTGGAAAGTGAGAGGGATTCTTAGCTTTAAGAAATTTGATAACTTGCTTTTATACTTAACTTTGAAAGAAGTAAATTTCATGAATTCTCAGCACTTAAGACTAAAATGACACTTTGAGAAGCTTGATAAATACCGGCCCTGAACTATTTTTGTGTTTGCCTCTCATTGCTGATGCTTGTGTCTCCACAGTGTAATTACTGTGCTAGGATGCAGACAATACTGCAAGGTAGTGGAGCATCCCACGCCATTATTTCAGAGGATGTTTACCTTTTGACAGATGCTTTAGCAACTGTTGACACAACATTAATTTAGTGAATGTAGACAAGTAGGTAGGAAGCTCTTGTATAAAGTGAAATTTCAGCCTGATGAGGTTTCAGTCTTGTGCCATGAAAAGACCTTGACTATCTGTAATGTGACACCTTTTCTAATGAGTGTTACACTGTACCAGATCTATTACTTCTACAGAGAAACCAGTTGTAGTTGTGTCAAAGAGTGGAATCATGCTTATGTGCTCCAGCTGTGTTCCCTTACCTGCATTTCAATTGTTCAGGCTGATAATATAAAATGAACCACATTTGCATAAATCAGGCAGATCAGTGTGATTTAAAGTTCCAACTGATGGAAGCACTTTCAGCAGATCTTGAGTCATTCTCAGTATCCACCCAGTATCCACAATATGCAAACATTGTTTGTTGTTTTTGTGTAACAAATCAATAATTCCTTTTTTGAAAAAATCTAAATGAAGCCCGCATCTGAATGAGTGAGGATTTGAAAATAATACATGACATGCATTTGTATTAGACTCTTTGTTCTTCTCTACCAGCATTACATACCCAGACTTACCATAATGGCATGGGGCAGGTAGCCGTTGGTCTGGGTTTGTAACCCCACAGTGTTGAGTTCAGCTGAAACATACCGCTCTGGACTGGGCTTGTCCAGCGTAGCCCGTCGGATTTTACTTAACTTGGTTGCAACAAAAAATGGCAGAACACTCTGGGGGGAAAAAAAAGAAGGAAACATGGTAAAAGGTAAATGAACATAACTTGGTAAAGTATCGACAGTGTTGAGACGATTTTTCTTAGTCTCAAATCCACAAAAGGATTTTGCTCAAAATTGCATTTTAACTATAGTGAACCAATAAGCCTTTAGGAAAACCATGTGGGCTTGTAGCAACTAATGTTTTAAGGTTCATGATATATATACCTGGATGATGATGCCTTTGCTCTTGTATTCAGCTTGCAGTCCTCGGGAGAAGAAGTCCACGAACGCCTATATAAGAAAAAAGCAAGTCATTTTAGTTAATTCTACAGTTCAAGTAAGAAAGAATACAAAACACTACATTTCAATATTGTTCATGTATAACGTCCTTTACAATGTTAATAGCAGGTGTAATGAACTGCAATGATCATTTAATTGCACATTAAACTAAAGATTCACCCTAAATGGATTTTAGATGCACTTTTAAACTTGCAGTGCAGAAACCGGGATTTAGTAGATAAACATGACCCAGAATTAAGACACCAGCAAATTAATCAGCTGAAACTGTGAACAGCAGGCTGTTTTTAAACTAACAAACACTCATGAGACGGTTATAAAACATTATGACACCACATGCTCCTATAAACATTTTTAATTGGTACACTACCTCGGGACCGAGTTAGTCACCAACTTATTTATATTCAACAATTAAAATAGCAAATATGAAAAAAGACGATCCTTCACTTAAACCCTACATAAATGTTGAACTAACATCTATCTTCATCAGTAAATATGCTTTGCCTCAATTTATGTTGGTGGATTGGACAGAATAATTCATAACATGAGAACAAAGATGGATTTGTCCTCATGGACCACAGTATATGGTAGGATGTAAACAGTTTATGATGCTGGGATGCCACTGTAGATAACACTTCAGTTAACACTTGAATAAAAGGTCATAAACAATGTTTTGCAGTTACCTTGGAGGCAGAGTAGACAGTGAGGAGAGGAACAGGGTACATCCCACTGGCAGACGAGATGTTGAGGATGGCCCCTTTCTTCCTGGAAGGAAGGAAGGAATATAAGTAAGTGTACTTTTACACCAAGAAGAAATTGAAAGCATGAGACAAAGGGGGGCCATGCAGCCAACACTTCAGCCTTATATCACTCCATGAATGATGAGAACCATGGTACTATGTGGGCTGGCAAGTTGAACCAAAACTGTTCTTGTTGTACATCAAAGTAGAGCTGGTAGATATTGATAAGATCAAAGACACAGTAACATCAACACCTAAATATTTACAATCTGAGGATATTTGGGCTCCAGCTTTCATACAATATTTAATCTAAACAAGAAATTTCAGACTTAATTTCACTCAGCTACAACGGTCTAAAATTATCAGAAAATTCCTTTACTTTCAGCTGATGCTTTATGTGCTGCTATGACTGGCGATATGGTTCAAATGCCCATTTATCATCCAGCCCAGTGTGCTGCTTAATGCATTTGAGCTGGTGTTAAAACTGAAGATTCACAGACATCAATGATATATTAACTTAATTACTGCTTAAGTCAGACAAACTTACCTCACCACCATTTTAGGTAAAACAAGACGCGTCATCTGGGTGAGAAACAGAGTAGAAACATTAGACAGACAGAAACATTTTAATTTTAATGTGGGTGGGTTGTGGACAAGTGTGTGGAGGTGGGCATCCACATTTGTAGATGTGTTTGTGTGGGTTGTGTGTGGAGAGGTGATAGGAGAGGGAAGACAAAGAGAGAAAGGAAATGATAATGATAGCAGAGGGAGCAGTTTAAACAAATATTGAATGACATAAATTAAGTGCTAAGAGAGTGGGTGGACTTTAGCTGTTGCTCTGGGAACAGCCGAACATGGAGAATAGGGACGGAAGTGACTTAATATGCTTTATTTCCCTGTGTTGGGGTGTGTGTGTTTATTGGTGTGCGGGACTACCTGACAGTGGATCAAACTACTTCAGCCATTTGAATCCACTTGGACAAACTTCATCACTCAAGGCAACACAGACGTCCATGTCTAAACCCCTTAAACTTCACGTCATTTTTTATTCTTTTGAACTTAAGCAGTTTATCAAAGAACAACCGGTAACCAGTTAAATCTGAAGTACCCACAGCTGCAAAGCAGATCATTCTATCTACAAAGACACAAGGCTGTAATCACTGCCACTCAATATCAACCTGAAGGGGAATTGCGATTTTTATTTCCTTAGACATTAAAAAGGGGTATTTTTTGTTGATCAGACTCAAAAACAAATTACAATTACATCAATGTTTTAAAATAATAAATACTCACCTGGCACACAGATGTTATGTTAACGTTGACCATGGTGTCGATGAACTGAAAACAAAAAATATATTTGTTCAAATACCAAAGGCTGTTCACCTTAAAGCGACACTATGTAACTTCTGAAAGTCTGTAATTATTGTGGCTAATATCAGAAAACTTTGGCTAGATAAAGTTGTGTAACACACATTCCTGAGTCAGTTTTTTAACTTTATGACTCTTCGCCACTTGCGCTTTTTCATTGTCTGGTATTTGCCATGTGTGACCAACTTTCAGAAAATACCAAAGACTCGCCTTAGGTAAGCAAGACTGTACAAAAGCACAATATTTTATAAAGTCTAACTTGGCTGGCCATCTTTGTGCAGTTTCATTTTGTCTTAAGTTCGGTTCTAGCTGCACACAAGGGCCCTTTTGTCTATTCAAGTAACATTTATAAAAGGCAGAAAATTTATATGATTCTGAACCTGTCAATACAGCAAACTGGAAAGGATCCAGTTTGTAGTGGAGCTAGATGGGTCAAACTACACTGAAATAAGATTTGCATAAAAAGACAAAATGAGATAAAAATGTGTGTTATGGGATGAGCTATTATTACCACTTCTATTCCTCATAATCATGTAAAAAATTAATTACCTCATCTGCCTGTATGATATAATCATTTATACATTCATGGCAAATAGAACAGTATTAAACCTTTAACTTACAGTGTTGAGATTGGGGACGTTCAGGAAGAATTCAGGGTATGAATAGGATATTCCAACATTGTTCACTGTTAACAAGAGAAAAATAACAGCAATGTGTCATTCAAATAGTACATAATATATTTTATATGTGGAATGTTATTTCTCTTTCCAATCTTAGGAGGGCAGCAAAGGGCTTAAGAAGCCAGGATAAATTAACCTTTTTAATTACATGAAAAACTTATATTTAGATTATAGAGAATTCCTGTTGTCTATAGGCCTTTATTCAGATTGAATTTGCCAACTAATTACATTATATGAATAGTGAGTTGGCCTTAGCACCTGCTGCAGTCTTACCCAATACTCCAATCTCCAGTCCTGCAAGTCCATCTTCAATCTTAGAGTAGATATCTAGGCCACTAAAGTCTGCTGCAATCGTTTTGGTCTCCACACCACATTTGCTTGCTGAGGGCATAAATGTAAAATTTAATTGTGCATATTTTTTATATATAAAAACAATAAAAGATACCAGAAATCTATGAATGACCACATTGCTAACAAACACACTTGGAAAGGGAAGAGCTGAGCAGAGAAAAAAAAATAATTAAGCCCTGGATTATCCTTCATCGTCAGTAAGGATATCCCTCCCTTAAGAGGGAAGCTTTCATTTAATTGGACAGATTCACTTTCAGCTCCAACAGGAGACTTTACTGCCTCATAACCAAAAGCATAAGAGCCCTGTTGAATCTCTACTCACTCATGAAAAAATAAAAAAATAAAACGCAATTCAATGCAATATCATTTAGTCTTTAGTCCTACTGGACTATGACACAGTGCAATATGGCAGCAACATTTCAAATTCAGGATAAATAAGGCTGTATAGTTTCATATATATGAATGTGAAATACAGTGTGCAGCTCAATATCACTATTTAATTCATCAGTCAAACTATTTCCCCATCTTTCAGTCAAGGGAAATCCACAGTACCTGTGGACCAAAGGCACAAGGCTAATATAATGTTAAGTATGACAGCTGCTGGACTGGAGAACATTCTTAACAATTCATGCAGCTCATCTAAAAAAAAAGTAATCACTTTCTTTTATTTGTTCTTATGTATGCTATACACACACACACACACACACACACACACACACACACACAACTCACTGATCGCCTTGGATACATCATCCAGCTTCTCCTGAGAGCGGCTGATCAGTACGATGGCAAAGCCTCTGCGGGCAAGCTGCACACAAGAAAATTCTAGTCAACAAAAGGAGACACATGTGTGCACTTCAATACATATTACAGGCCAAAGTAATGACTTGCATTGCTGAGTTGCCTGTATGCAATGATGATGATCATCCTGCAATGGGTCTAAAATCTTCTTAAAAGAACTTTTATATTTAGGACACCTGGCCAAGCAGGCACAAGCGCTCAACATCAGTGAACATACTACACGGGTGCTCACATCACCAGTTCTCTAAAGTCCGTTATAGTGCTAATCATAGCGTGATGATAACGGTATATACGTTTTCAGTTGCATTCCTGTCTGAAGGAAGAGGTGACAAAATGTCATAAATATGCCTATGCATATTGTTCTACTTAACACATCCGTGACACGGACATGTTCAGATTGGGTTTCGTCATTCTTGTCAGCCATGGTTGTTTTGGGTGATGAAGTGAACCCAAACAGAAGGTGTCAGCTATCTGTTGTTGTTTCATGCTTTAGCGCCACTACCTGCAACGCTCAGACTACAGCTCCCGATTGCATTAAGATTTTTTGAGTGACACACTCCAGAACACAATGATACGTGAAATCAATCTTGCGTACCTCAGAGTATCTGCGTTTGCATACTTGTGTGGACCATGTTTGTGCCCTTAGGCTTTTACCTGTTAACTGTGCTTCAGAGCCATGGCCTTCAATTTTACAAGCTGTGAGGCAGGCGCATCTGACAGATGTAAACTGTGTGGTAAAATGTTTTGTACACACTGTATGAGGGGTGGAAAATATCAATATGTATGCACACCAGTAACTCAAATGCCTTTTTAGCACCTGACAATACTTCTAATAGCTGATCAACCTCTGGCATCACACCTTCCATTTCTATAGGTTCATTTAGGTGAAATGTTAATATGATCCCCTGTGCCACAGCTACACTACACTTTATGGTAGATGCACCTCACTTGACGTTACAAAATGTACTTTGTCATGTGTAGAAGCAGGTGTGGTGTTGAGTGAAGCTACAATGGTGATCAGACAAGGTCTGACACTACACCCAACACTTAGAAGAGAGAAAATGTTTAGTTACATGTAGAGGCACGTGAGGCGCTGTGGCCTACCAGAAAACCGGTTGAGTGAAGCCAAATCTGGCAGGTGCGAAGCACTATGTCGCCACACTGGGCACGACACCCAACATTAGTCCCTTGATGCTCTCTCCTAGGAAGGCTGTTATCCAAAGAGAGAGACAGAAAAAGAGATTGACCGTGCTAAAGTCTGTGTGTCATTACTGAAAGTATGTTACTTTTATTGTGTAATAAGTAGGAAATTTTAAGTGATTTAATTAAGGTAAACATAATGAACATCCGTGCACAATGGCACTGTGCTCTTGCGCAGCACTTCTCAGAGGTTGCAGATTTAACAGTCATGCTGACTTTAGAAGCTGCAGGGATTTCATGAACTGAAGAAGCTTTTCATACAGTTTAAAGCACCTGTGGCCAGCAGATACTGTAAGAATCGCCCACATTCATTCATAGATCAATGCAGACTGATTTACTTGCTTTCCTGCTTTAACCACATTACCATTGTTTTCTGTGCCTATTTTCGTTGGAGTATGTTTAACTAAAATAAATGATTTACATTTTAAGCATTAATCTGTTGTTGCAGCACATCTGGAACATCATCCTTTTTATGCATCATTTTACTCATAACGAACTGAACTCCAGTCTGGAGCATGAAATAGTGATCCTAGGGTACACTCTACTGTGTGAAAACAGAACTACATCATTAACTAGCTAGTTAACAGAAAATGCATTGTAGTATAGCTATATACTCCTACATATTAAACAATAAAAGCAACATATACTTGCAATGACGACACACAGGGTGCAGAACTAACGGTTAATCTATTTTGCCCTCTCTCTTTCTCAAAGTATAAATACAGCCTTCCTAGGAGTCTGCATCAAGGGATTAGTTAGGCGTTACTTCAGGTGTGGCGACATAGTTCTTCAGGTGTAACATTAACTTCTTTTTAAAATTTAGTCTAACTATTTAGAAAAAGTTTGACACAGGCTCTCTTAGTTAGGCAACATTAAGTAGCTTGCCACCTAACTTAGCTAGCATTCCCAAATGGTGAACTTAAAATGAAATTACGGTTGAAGGCATGGATCGGAATGCACAAACTTGCAAAGCACAGTTTACAGAGGCCTAAATATTCAGCCTCAACAAACTAAAAGAAGAATGTTACAGAATATACAAATGTTTCAAACAGAAATCACTGGTACAAATCAAAAGCACACATTTATAGAACAACGATTACAAATATGTATTTTTAAAACAGACCCATTGAAATTACAAATACAAACTAAAATGTTCAAGCTTACAAAACCAACATTACCAGGTACAAAACTTGATTTTCAAGCACACTTTTATAAATAATTTAATATTCCTGAAGCATTTGACAGAGGCAGAGAGAGATTCCATTTAACTCCCTCCTCCTCTTATTTGTTTAGTTATGAGTCTGATATTGTCCAGTCTGAGGGAGTCTTACCTCCTCCGCATAAGCTTTCCCAATCCCATCTGTGGCTCCTGTCACAACTAAAAGGGGGAAAAGGACAAATAGAAAGTGAATGAGAAGGACAAAGTAAATACTGTTAAATTAACTATGAAAACACTGAATGTAATAAGGAAAGATACTCTTCTCCATATTCACTGTGAAATTCACATTGTATGATTTTTATTTTATAATATTTGCATTTTATTGCATGACATAAGTATTTGATACATCAGAAAAGCAGAACTTAATATTTGGTACAGAAACCTTTTTGTTTGCAGTTACAGAGATCATACGTTTCCTGTAGTTCTTGACCAGGTTTGCACACACTGCAGCAGGGATTTTGGCCCACTTCTCCATACAGACCTTCTCCAGATCCTTCAGGTTACAGGCCTGTCGCTGGGCAATACGGACTTTCAGCTCCCTCCAAAGATTTTATATTGGGTTCAAGTCTGGAGACTGGCTAGGACTGGCTCCAGGACCTTCAGATGCTTTTCCACCTCCATGCTTCACAGTTGGGATGGTGTTCTTGGGGTTGTACTTATCCTTTCCTCCAAACACAGCGAGTGGAGTTTAGACCATAAAGCTCTATTTTTGTCTCATCAGACCACATGACCTTCTCCCATTCCTCCTCTGGATCATGCAGATGGTCATTGACAAACTTCAGACGGGCCTGCACATGCCCTGGCTTGAGCAGGGGGACCTTGCGTGCACTGCAGGATTTTAATCCATGAGGGCGTAGTGTGTAACTAATGGTTTTCTTTGGTCCCAGCTCTCTTCAGGTCATTGACCAGGTCCTCCCGTGTAGTTCTGGGCTGATCCCTCATCTTCCTCATGATCATTGATGCCCCACGAGGTGAGATCTTGCATGGAGCCCCAGACAGAGGGAGATTGACCGTCACCTTGAACTTCTTCCCTTTTCAGTTGTTGCCTTCTCACCAAGCTGCTTGCCTACTGTACTGTAGCCCATCCCAGCCTTGTGCAGGTCTACAATTTTATCCCTGATGTCCTTACACTGGTCTTGACCATTGTGGAGAGGGTGGAGTCTGTTTGAGTGTGTGGACAGGTGTCTTTTATGCAGGTAACGAGTTCAAATAGATACAGTTAATACAGGTAATGAGTGGAGAACAGGAGGGCAGGTCTGAGAGCCGTAATTCTTACTGGTTGGTAGGTGATCAAATACTTATGTCATGCAATAAAATGCTAATTAATTATTTAAAAATCATACAGTGTGATTTTCTGAATTTTTGTTTTAGATTCCGTCTCTCACAGTTGAAGTGTACCTATAATAAAAATTACAGACCTCTACATGCTTTGTAAGTAGGAAAACCTGCAAAATCAGCAGTGTATCAAATACTTGTTCTCCCCACTGTATAAATTAGGGCTAATTACAGGCCAGTCAAGTTCTTCCACACCACAAGTGTCAAAACCACGTCTTAATGGATCTGGCTTTGTGCATTTACACTGTCAGGTAGACATAGGAAAGGGCCTTACTCAAACTGTTGCCACATAGGTGGAAAATGCTTTTGTCTAAAAACACTAGTTTTCTTTATTGGAGTGAAAGATCCTTTCCCAAACCGTGAAAACCCTGGACCAAAATAAGAGATATGTGGACAAGTGTCTACAGACTTTGACCTAGACATTTACAGCCTTAAACTTGCATTCAGCTTTAAACTTGTGCCCATGAGCACAGTTTAAATAGACTTTCCTGTTGTGTGTAAGCTCTGAGTCAGACCACACCTTCACAATCAGGACTTGCATCATAGCACAGAGATATCACAGGAAAATTACAAATGATCTTCTAATCACATCAGACAAAAGGTTTACTTCTATACTTGTCTTGTTAGACCCGAGTGCTGCATTCAACGCCATTAACAATCCTAACCTTTTACAGAGACTGCAACATTTAATTGGCATTAAAGGAACAGCTCTAAGCTGCTTGAAGACCTATTTATCAGAACCATCTCAGTTTGTTAACAATGAATCCTCCATGCATGCAAAGTTAGTCACGGAGTTCCACAAGGTTCTGTGCTTGGACCAATTCTATTCACCTTTAGGAAATAGCAATAGGAAACACTCCATAAACTTTCATTGTTATACAGATGATCCTCAATTATAACTATTGATCAAGCCAGATGAAAGCAATTAGTTAGCTGAACTTCAAGAATGCCTTAAGGACCTGAAAATATTAACCTACAATTTTCTGATGTTAAACTCAGACAAAACTAAAGTTATTGTATTTGACCCCAAACACCTCATAGACGCATTGACTACAAATATAGTCTCTAGATCTATATAATATCTATAGAGTTATCTTTGATCAGGATATGTCCTTTAACTCCAGTAAAACTAGTCCACTCATTTGTTACTTCTAGCCTGAATAAGACTCTTAGCTTCTCTGCACTTGCCCCCGGTAAAATAGAATTTTAAATCCTTCTCCTCACCTACAAAGCCCTCAACGGTCATGCACCATCTTATCTTAAACAGCTCATAGTACCTCATTATGCCTGTAGAACACTGCGCTCCCAGATTGCAGGGTTACTTGTGCTTCCTAGAGTCTCCAAAAGTAGAATGGGCATCAGAACGTTCAGCTATCAAGCACCTCTCCTGTGGAACCAGGTCCCTGTTTGGGTTTGTGAGGCAGACACCATCTCCACATTTAAGAGTAGACTTAAGACTTTCCTCTTTGATAAAGCTTATAGTTAGGACTGGCTCAGGTGAGGCAAAACATCCCTTAGTTATGCTGCTATAGGCCTAGACTGCCAGGGAACTGTCCATAATGCACTGAGCCCCCCCTCTCCTCCTCTCCATCTGTATGCAATATTATCCCATTAATGCATGTTGCTAACTCGACTTCTTCCATCTCCCGTAGTTTTTTGCTTTCTTGTCCCTCTCCTCTTTCCTTCCGATGCTTTTTCAGGTGTTTGACTCCAGAGCTGTGTGATTTGGATCTGTAGTTGCGAGCTGACTGCTGCCCCATGTTCCAGCTCGACCCCCTGAACACCATGGGAGACGCATTTTAACACCTTAAAAATAGTGTAGAAAAACTAAGCTGCGCTAGCCACCACAGATGAACAAAGAGCACCAACTTCAGGAACTATCACCACAGAAATTTGATGGTAAATATGTCAGAGTTATGGACTGTTGACAAAGGATCCCTGGAAAGTGCGGTGTAAAACCACTAATAATGGCCAAGCACAAAAATAAAAATAAAATAAAATTGACTTTTAAGGGTAAAGGGCTGATTATGAGTATAGACAGATGTACTGCAGGACGAGGTACGTGGAGAGCAGCCGAGGTGAATAAGGAGGACAAAGAGAGAGGGAAAGTTTAGTCCTCTCTGTCATCAGTGGCAGTCGAGCGAACGGATGCCCTGAAACTGCCTGGCACAAACAGCAGCAGTGGCCTATTTTTAGCAATTCCTATCTTTCAGAAGGAACTATTCATCACACCTCTGGCTAAATATAACAAAAAGTGGATGGGGAGTGGGATGGAGAGTCAGGTTGTTACAATATGTCCCCATGTAACCTGAAAAGCCCATCTTGTAGAGCATCCTTGTGTAAACTAATGTATTGTTCTTTATCTTGTGTTTTTAGGTATCAATTGTGTGTGATTACTATTCTGTTCTTATTTTATATTATGTGTTGCATTGTAGTTTAGACCTACTTGTGAGATTGAGGTGCACTTAAGATGGGAATATTGGTAGGTTGGTTAGGTCAAACCACATCAGACTGGCTGGGTGCACTGAGCAGTGCAGCCTCTAGGGTTCACTAACGAGGTTTTTAGACTCTTGGGCTCACTAAATACTACATGCAAGGAACACCAAAGTAAGTGCAATCTTGACTAAAAACAAACTTTTGTACTTTGTCTGAGATCAGCCTTGGCCAACTAAAGATTAAAATACTATCAACAATAAAAATGTTCATCATGCTTGGTCATTATTTTGGTTATTTGTGATCTGCTGCCAGGGCCAGTAAAATTTAAAGGACTCACTGTTTTATACTAAAGATTCATCCATTGTGGCATAGTGTAAAACAGTGAATGACAATGAGGAGGAAACTATTTTAATTTGAACTGGTCACATCATGGCCAATACATGATCTGCTTAATTAGGTCAGTATCAGCATTTATACTGATCTAGCAAATTGGCTTTGTGCATCCCTAATTAAATTAAAGTTTTTTACTACATGTTTCTTTATTTAGGAATTATATCCATTTAAAGGGACATTGTTTATCATAATTATGTAAATGGGATTTTTATCATGACTAATCACTAAGCACTAACATCTGATGAATGATGTTTTCATGAATTGTTGTTTGTACTGTTGCAGCAATGCCTAATACAAATTCCCTGTAGAGATAATAAAGATTATTTTAAGCAAATATTTTGTTATTTTGAAAATACAATTCATTCGTTCTCTTACTCATCTGCCTATCTACCCTTTGCTGTACCCATCTCCCCTTTGTGTGATCTTCCTGAGTACAGATGATGCTGAGGTGCCAAGCGTTCTCTAGGGCTGCAGCAGAGCCAAAGAGAAGAGAGTGGGGGGAGGAAAGAGGAGAGAAAATGACAAACACGAACATGGGGGATCCTGGGGGCAACTAAAAATAGCACAGAGAAGAGGAGGGAGAGTGATGGAGAGTCTGCAGGCACAATGATGAGGAAAACATAGGCCGAGTTATTTTTAGTTGTTTTAAGAATGAACTGTTTTGCAGTCGGAACAGAAAAAAAGCTTTCACAGCTGAGTGCATGTTCCCTTCAGTCAAATAAAACAAGATCTATTTTAGGGACTGCTGTGTTCTTCAAATGTAGGTTAGACTGGCTAGGTGTTCTGATTACAGTGCTACTATGTGTCACCATTTGGGTGTTGGGTTTGATAGCCAACATCATTTTATTGTAGAACATAATTAAAAGGACTGGGAATAAATCACTGTTTTACGTCTTCCGCATGAAGAAGACATAATGAGAATTTGCCCAACATATCTAATTTTTCAATATTTGTGACAATACGAGCCAAAGTCCTGCCCTACTTCTAGACTCGCTCTCTTTCCACTAGGGAGTCACAGTGCATGTATTTGCAACAAACCATTCCATGCAGAAATAATTGACAGATGACATGTTTAGTTTATTCTACCAATAATTGCAATCTATGTATGGGCGTTTGCGGAGCACACATTTACATTTTTCTTGCCTTGGCCTGTGAGCAAAGCTATGCTGGCAAGATTAGTGCATATAGGTTAGCCAAACCCATGTCATCATCAGAACAGCGACATAAATGAGAAGCCAAAGCATGGAGGCAAAACATTTAGTCAACTGACAGATAATTAATCAACAACTATTTTGATAATCAATTATTCGTTATAATCCAATTTCAAAAGTTACCTGGCACCAGCTTGTGATAATTTGCTGCTTCTCTCCTCTATTTTATATCACAGTGAACTGAATATCTTTGGGTTTTGGACTGTTGTTCAGAAAAACAAGACATGTGAAGATCCCTTTGAATTATACAGGGTATGTTTAACTATTTTGTGTAATTTTATACTGCATGATAACTGATCACAGATGAACCGATTATATAATCATTTTCAAACCCTAATGAAAAAAGAATCAAACCATAATGTAATGTAACATTGCACCAAGAAGTACAAGAATAATCAAAATCAACTATTGTATCTGCAACGACAACAATGACAATTATAACAAATGAAATCATTGAAATATGTACATTCGGGTAGTACTACAATGGTTCTCTGTAATACTGCCACAGACTTTCTTTCTATCACTGTCTCTCTCTCTCTCTCTCTCTCTCTCACACACATACATATGCACTCAAAAAAAGAAAAAAAAAAAGAGAGATGTGGGTACCAGTGAACCAGAATCCCGAGGATCCTGCGTCTCATTTATGAATGGCTCTGGTCCAGTTACATAATCAGGCCATGCTCTCAATCAAGTCCACTTCACTGAGACAAAGTTTGTGAATGAAAGCAGCAGCTGAGGCAAATGAGCTCCTTTGCCTCATTGGATATTCTGACTCATTTTGCATGTGTAATCCAAGAATAAAAACCTGTCTGAAGCGTTTCCAGTTTTAGCTGCACACAAAAAGATCAAAGGCAACTTCAGCTCGCATCCTCAAAACATTTGGGTTTCTCTAGCAGACTGATGTGACTGTGACGGCACATGTTGAAAAAGACTGCTCAGAAGTTTAGTTGGAAAAGTCTGATAAAAAAAATAAGATAAAATACTTAGGTAAAAACAAATACGTACATAAAATAATTTATAAACTTGAAACATGTAACCAAAAAAAAAAAAAAAAAACTGACTGTTAACAAGCATTTTCGTCATTTCCACTGACAGAGCATGACTTAATGTAATATAACTGTATCTAAAAAGGTTATTGCTATTTCTGTTTTCTTTGTATGATTTTTAGTTTTTCTGGAATACTTATAAAGATCATTATTCTGAAAACTTCAAATAGCTGTGGACTTCTTTTTAGTTTTCTTTTTCTTGTACCGTGTGTGAACCTTGAACACCAGACTCGCCAACATTAATATATCACAGCAGTCTGTTCAAACTTCAAGGTTCAGTCAGTGAGCAGGCTGGACAGATGGACAGTATTCACTCTGAGTTGATAATTCCCTTGAGCCGTAATCCAATCACAAGATTTACTACAGTTAACAACCCATGACAAAAGGATGATCATTCCCTGTCCATTCTTTAATTCATGTGAAAAGTACCATAGTAGTACACAGTAGTCTACTGTTGCTGTGAAAAAGTAGTCATAACATGTAACAAGTATGATCTGAAGCAATATCAGAAGGCTGGAGAGGAACAGTCAGGATTTGTGCTTGACAGCCATGATACAGCGCAAGCGCACAGTACTGTACAGGCTATTCATGACATGTTCAAAAAACAGTGGCCATTTTATTAGGTACACCTGTACAATCTAATGCAAATCCAATACAACAGCTCTGCCATAGGTTCTAGTAACAAAATAATAATTAGTTGGGGTTTTTTACATTGTGGGAAATTAAAAATAAATTCAGTTATGTGTTCAATTTTGAGGTCATAGCCTAGATAATATAAGCAGTAAGTGTTTCCTATGTTGCTCCTCAGGCAGTTTGGTCCAAGGCTTGCAGGGAATATTGGAACATCTAATGCTGATGATACACGGAGCAACTTTTAGAGCAATGGTGCTGGCCAGTGTTGCCGTCAATGGTAATGGGTAAAGATTACTACTGTAATCCCCTTCCCCCATCACGCCGCCACCCTCCCTGTACCACCGCTATCCATTCAAAACATAGTCGGACTTTCCACCAGCAACATTGCCCAAAAAGTTGCCCCGTGTAGCATCAGCTTAAGACCATGTAATGTGACAAAGACTAAAGCTAAATGCTCTGTTTAAAAGCTCATTAATACATAGATGCTGTTTGCTTTTGCTTTGTATTACGGACTGGAGACTAATGTGAGGTTATTAAAAAGCTGAGCTGTTGCAATCGTCACCTATATCAGAGATGCAACACACTTTAACTTTCAGCCAGAAGAGGTCAGTGAACAGTGGCTGTTAAAGCTTGATGTTCAGACATTAACTCTTTCACAGTAACACAGAATGAGTCAGGCTACATTGAAGAAAAATCTGACAATGAATAACCAGTAAGGTAAAAGACTGGAAAGAAGTGAATAAACAGTAAACAAAAATAAAGAAGTTAGAGAAGTTCCTTTGAAAATGGAGTTGTGTGGATTAGAGACAGAAACTATTTCTTATTGTTTCTTACATTTTGGCAGCTTGAGAGTCACATCTGATAAAGAAATGCTGATTAAAACCTCAAGACAGAGACATTTTCCTTAGTTTTACAAGTAACTTTACAAAAGAAAAGTTTTCTTCAAGTTCTTGTTCAAGTTATTCTGAACCACCACCTATCTGAACAAAAACTGGTTGACTAACATTTTTGTCATGTATAGTATTTTGTTATTTTCTATATATCTCAGTACACTGACTGCAAATCATGTTTGCACAGTTCTATAAAAAACTAAATCTTGAATGGCACAGACCACCTTAATTTAAGCCAGTAACGTTTATTACCCTCATAGAGTTTCTCACCTGCCCACTTTCCCAGTGTGGTGGGTGACACGAGCCGTCCGTTTCCCAGCACCCACACCCTGAACCCGCACAGCAGCCGCCACACAAAGCACACGGAGAGCCAGGCCGCGGTCAGAGCACCGAGACAGAACAGCGGCGTCTCCACGGCCCGCAACACTGCTTCTGCACTTGACGACATACCTGCAGCACAACACACCTGTGTTCTCTGATAATACTAACACCTGGACTTATGAGCTCTCTATTAATGTAGTAAGAAGTGATCAAAGTTCAAATGCATGCCACAAAAATGGACTTAGGATGTGGCTTCCGCGTTGGACTTTTTCCGCATCAACGCTTGGCTGTTCGTGATTGGCCCTTTTTTCTTCTTCTTCTTCTTCAGCTTTTGATAGCAACATATTTAGAGCATTACTACCACCTGCTGGTATACCACGGTCTTCCGTGTCTCTTGGAGTTATGAGTCCCGTATTTTGTAAAATGTATTAATATGGTATTTCCATAACCTCTCACGTTGTTTTACAATTTAAGCTTCTTCTGTAATAGGCTAGCTGTGTTTTACTGATGATAAAATACTATGTTTCACAGTCATGCAGTTTTGCCCTGAAAGGTTTTACAGTGAGGCTTAAAGATTTACTTATTTTTGTGTACCCAGTATAATCTTATAAATCAGAAAATGTTGTTCTATGCTTTTACATTTACCTATTTATTTTTAATCTTATATAGGCCTATTTGACTCTTCATCCCACAACCTCTGCAGCTGTATTAATTCTTACTTCTATCTCTCATTTCCTATATTTCTGCTTTGCCTTTATCACATAAAATATCTTCTTTATATATTTTCACATTTTTCCAAACCTTCAACAGTCTACTGTCTATCATTTCTGAGGACTCTTGTTATCTCTTCTGAAATAGTTGCACATACCTTTTCATACCTTTCAAGTGTCCAACAATTTCAATTTGATTTGAAACTGTTCTTTTACCCAGAGATTTTTACCGTTTATGTATTCAGGGAATTCAGGGGTATTCAGTGAACTGTATCACTACTCCTTTTTTACAGTAGGTGTGTCTGTCATTGTACATGCATCATGAGTTGTAGGCCTATATATTAAGTCATGCCAAACCTGCAGGCTGTGTTTGAAAACTTCTGGGACAAATGCTTGAGTCTTTGTATTAAAAAGATATTTTAGATGTTCTCATATTTTTGCAGCTTAAGACTAAACACACTATTATGTATTATTACACCCGTTGGCTGAACAAAATAATACTTCACTTGTTCATCATTGTTGATTGATTGCTGCGTTATTGATCACAGGAATCTGAGCAGTTTTCAGATGTTTTACACATGACTTGTTATTTGTTATATTATGTTGGTTTTTTTTTTGAGCAGATGAAATACCTTGTTTGAAAATTCAGCAACAAAAATCTAACATGAAATTTGTGCAGTTCATGGTTGTGGATATTATCTTATCAAACTAAGTGTTTTATTACTGTGGAGTGTTTTCTATGCCAGTGTAATGTCTGATTTTACACCCCTAGTGTGTTTTGGTGGATTCTGCATTTGATCCAATGAAAACTGGCAGAATTAGTTCCGACATTTATTGAAACACTGTATAAAGTGTAGCTAGGGCTCATTTACAGTATCATGAGAAATCCATTAACACAACACACTCTTGGGATTTACACCATATTCACCCTGAGAATATGTAAGAATTATTTTGAGTTTATTTTAACAAAGAGATCCAAATGGAGGACATATAAAAGTACACAGCCTCACGCAGAATTTTTCTTGAATTAGATATTTTTCTTGATTGATTTTATGGTTTTCCCAACTACATGTAGGATAATTGCTTAATCTTAAATGCATGCTGGCTCCTCCTTTCTTTGAATTTCTCTTTACTTCATAGAAGTTACGAGATATAATTGAATCTAACTCAGTATACAGACACACACAGACACACAGAATCACACACACACACAAACACACACACAGGGAGTACACAATTTAGCCAAGTGGAGCAGACAGCAGTGGTCCATAATGTGAGAGTGAGCGTTACATAAGAGCATTGCATCTAAAAATAGAAATGCAGCAATGGTAAACAGGAGTCTAAACTGTAGGCTCTAAGCTTTCAAAGGAACCTGAATGAAATTTAGATTAAAGGGTAATCTCGGGCATAAATGGACCAGCTGCTGATCATGACCAAGGGAGCCTGCAGGCAAGTACAGTGGGCCTGATGTCCACGTGTAAGTGAGTGTGAATGAGGTGGATGAAGAGTGAGAGTTACTGTAACATGTGTCATTAATAAATGATCAAGAGAGAAGTTGACTTGTGACTTTGACAAAACAGTTGGTGAATATAAATGCAAAAAAAGGACATATTTTAACATCAAGAGATCAATGAGTAAATGTAAACATGGTGCAATACGGCCCGTAATTCAGAACTACTTTGTGACGGACAGCTCCAAATCATGATGTCATTGTTTCTGTTCATTTTTGAAGAGATTTACAACTGTGTACACTGATAACAATCAAATCAAGTCTGTTATTGGTTAAAACACATACGCACATACATGAAGAACACCACATTCATAGAGCAATTTTTGCAAATAATATACGTATATGTGGATGTGGAGATATTAAGCTTTGTTGACACTACTCGGTATCTTTTCTACATCTGTCACATTAAACAAAAAACACAGTACACCATCTTCATAGGCTTTTATTAGTATTTATTTATTTGTGTTACTTTACAGCAAAACATCACAAATGTACACATTGATTACAAGTTTTTAAAAACTTGGCACAAATGCTGTGGTGTTATTTACTTAAAACTACACATGCAAAGTCAATAAGGACACATGATAGAAGATTTTTCCCTGTTTTTATTATAAATCTGTTGTATGAAAATGGTTAAAACACACAAAGTTAACAGCATACAGTTCAATTGGAATTCAAATCATAATTTGAGCAAATAAAGGTGACTTGAGCACAGTCATTCTTGGGATATGATTTAGAGATTAAAATCTGCTAATGTAAGTTTTTCAATGACTCCACAGACATCATGACATGGCTGAACAAAAAAAGAGAACATTCATGATAAAACAAAAACAGAATGAGATCAAATGTAAAAAAAATACATTAAATTCATTTGAACAAATGAAGGAAAGGAAATAAAAGTGTACACACACACACACACACACACACACACACACACACTCCTACATCTGAGGGTTGCACATTGACTTAAAGCATTCAACTTCCTCTCTGTGTCTCGTCCCTCTTTGTCATCTGTTGTTAAATTGAGAAAAAGACCGCAGATCAATTATTTAGGGGCAAATGGGGAATTGAGCTTAATGGCAAAGGAGTTCCACGTTTTGATAAATTTGCTTTTGGAGCCGTAACAGTTCATGTGTATCTCATTTATTTTCCAGTTCAAGATATTTTCTTGACACACAGAGCATGAAAAGATATGGCTGCAGATTTCCATTTAATCAGTGTTTTCTACATAATGCTTGATAAAAACATTCTGCCTAATACAATTTCAGGAACAGAACGTGTGACTTGCAGGTGCTACATGATATTTGTGCATTATTGTCTCTGTAAGATGTCAACAAATTCATCATACAGATTTAATAGTCAGGCTGTAGAAATGTTCTGACACATGCATGCAAATTTTATTTATTTTCACATTGTTCTAAAAATAAATGTAAAGACTATGCACACACACACACACACACACACACACACACATATACACATACACACACACAGACACACACACACACACACACACGCATACACATACACATCCGCAAAAGTAACAACATAAGATGGAAACACATTAACTCCATCCCCACAACTCTTTCTGTGTCTCGCCTTTCAGATAAAGACTTAAATGTGCTCACTGACATAACTTAACAGTGATACTACTGTCACAGCAGAAGACATTAAATAAAGGACAAAGTCAAAGAACAACTAGAACACGGCATATGTACATTTAGGAATATTGTTTCTGCATAATGTGTCTTTGTTGAGTTTTATGTAAATGTTTGTCCATTCCCAAGCACATAAAGCACATTACAAGTGGTAAGGTCTCATTGACTAATGAAAATACAAAAACTAATTTAAAACCCCAAATCACCTTCTGACTTACACTACGAGGACAAATATGTCTACAATGAAACATTAGATGTGACCCTGCAAAAATAAAAAAACACACACACTCACACAATTAATCCCTAAATCTAAACTCTGCACATTTACAGCACATATCATTTTAGTGTGCCTTTGATCTCTCTATAATAGTAATTGTAGTGGTTAAAGACATGCTAAAAACATTTTTAATCTGGTTCTCTCATACTGCAGACACCATAATATTTTATTGTTATTTGTGTCTTTTTATACTGTTAGTGTCACCAACCTCACACCTCACAAAACTAAAACAGACTGTCTTCTGACAATGTGTGTGTGTATTTTCACTTTAGTGTGATTGTTATTACTCTTCCTTTAAGCAGGTGAGCCGATTTAAAAGATGCCCTGGAGGGGAAACTGCACAGAGAAGGAGGCTTAAACACATTCTCACTCTGCCAAACCAGGAGCTCCCTACTTTGTGAGCTGTTGGACTGCTTCACTAGAGCTGAGGAGGGTTCACTACTTGCTCATGTGCATTTGTGAGACCCTTGGACTCACATTAAAACATTTCACTGTGCACATTTAAAAGGTTCAATAATAATAATAATAATAATAATAATAATAATAATAATAATAATAATAATAATAATAATAATAATAAAAATAATATGAATAATAATAATAATGCAATAATCTTACAACTGTGTGGAGATTTTGACCAAACAGCAATCTTCGACTGACACACAAGATGAGTATGATGAAAAACTATTGTTTACTTCCCTTTTATAGTTTACCCTCACAATGTAGATTCCACCTCCTGTCCTCGCTGAGGTTTTGTCATTGCTCTCGTGTCCCAGCGTAGTGTGTGCAGACAACCTGTGAGTTCAAAAGGCATAAACCAATAAAAGTAATACAAAAAATAATATGAGAAAGCAGATGCAAACATGTTATCATAGTATCATAATACATAGAACTGCTGTTTTCTTACGTAGCTCCTGCTTCAGAAGGAAAACTGATGTGAAAGCTGTATACACTGGTACATGGCGAGTGTAAAGGGAAACTGTACAAAATACAAATTAGGAAAAAAATGCAGCACAACCCTCAAAACATAAAGAACATCCATATATTGTATGTTGTGACTATATAGATTCTGGCACTTTCCAACTTGCATTTTGTTGACTGTTGATAAGGTTCACAAACGCACAAG